GAAGCTACTATACATAGGACCAATAAGGACTCAGAGTTGACTCAAGGCTGGTCGCGCTGGAAAACGCGTTAGTGGGCACATTCGTCTGTGTCTTGATTGGTGATTTTGCCTCGTGATATTTGACCGGCCATAGAACATTACACATTATATTCGCCATCAAGCAGTATTCAATATGCTCACCAAAAAACCTGTACAAGTAGATATTTTGTACCATGGATGACCTGTAGAATTCAAAAGTTTAGACTGTTCCAAACTGAATAGAGAGCGCCTGCGTCCAATTTTCAGAGTAGTTCTTGTGTTAATCATTCAGGGGCAAGAAAGAATATAACCCTATATGCACCTAAAACTAGAGTGCCATCGAAAACAAAAGTCTGAGATTCATAGAACACTTTTCTAAGCAAAATATATAGTTTGTAAATAGTCGATTACATAGAAGACGATTACCTATAAATACTCTCCCTAGAAACTGGTGTCCACCTTGGTGCATAAAGACGCTGCACTAGGTTTGACAATATATGTATTACCTATGAACGGTCTGCTGACTGCCGTCATTTCTCATTGGCCACTTATTATGAACGACGTCAAAATTTATGAGATAGCACAAGCTTGTCTCAACAGTGCGTTAAATCACTCTATTACGTGGCTGATGTTTATTACTGTCTTTCACTTATCAGTTTCAGCAAATGCATGCGACGAACTACGAAACAGATAATAAACCACTGCTGTTGATATGTAGTTTGATGGAATTGGAATAACATTGAACTCCAGTACCATGATGGCTCAGGTTGGAACGCTCATCTCTGAACGTTGAATGTTGTTAAAGAATGGTAATAGTTAATAAAGGAGCAACTCGAAGACCTGACATTCAAAATACTTATACCTTCTTATTTGCATGTGACTGAATTTTCCTACGGTTTGATAGTGAGGTCGAAACTTTATAACTTTACATTTAAATAACTAAACTCATACTTCAACTACTTATTACGATTTCCCACATTCAGTAGACAAATGTAATGAGCATACATTATCTGAACTTGTAATATTTAACCTTCACTTACTGAAACTCGTTGAAGCTATGTTTTAATTCTTCCCAGTCGTAGAGCATTTGCTAAAGCTACCGCTGTTGAAAAAAACACCTAGGTTGGCAGACACCTTATTCGAACTACATGTTTTACTAATTCTATTACTATTACTGTCCATAGGTAGGAAATACCATTTATTCGACTGCAAAAAATATAAATCATGACAATTGTAGTGATCCATAAAGAACTGTTTTCCTTAAGAGATCACCCTAAAACAACAATTTGTTCAGGATCAGACGTCTAAATTGTTCATAAGAAATATCTCGGGAACTGGAAGCTTTGCCAATTGAGCCATATATTTCCCTGCCAAAGTAAACAAACAGGACCTACAATTGCATTTTATTGTTGTTACCGAGAATACGGCATTTTTTGAATACAAAACGCTCCCCAACAGAGTGGACAAAAAGGCAGCCCTCAGATGGACAATTACCCAGAAACAAATGAAATATCGGCACTAAAAAAGATAACAAACCTACAGTGAGTTAAAACGTGTTCTTCTAAATTTCCAGACCTCAACATACAACCCAGTTATGCCAACACAACGAATTCATTTAAACTAATACACGCTCAACAAACATCAAGCATTTGAAATGCAGAACCCCTGCCTGGACAAAGACACTCAAGGTCGGCGAAGCAGATTTGACCTGGTCTCAGCTTTGCATCCACCTCCTCTTATGTAGCTTTTTAGTCAGTTAAAAAGCCACACGCAACTCTGAGCATTCTACACGACGTGTAGACTTGGAATTTCCAAATGTAATGACTGGTGGATATATATTGCATAAACCCAACTACACAAAATATAGCTTTAAAACCACCAAATGCCTTAAAAACAAAGAGGACCTCCGTAAATCACCATATTTACCACTCCTAGTCTATAAATAAATAAAACGTTTTTCAGAGATATGTCCGTTATAGCGCAGTGTTAGGTAAAGAACACGAATATCATGAACTTTGAGGCGTGAAATTAAAACCTCACAAAAATTCTTCAAAATACTTCCTGCACCCACTATACCACGAAAATTGTCACATAGTATTCTTAGTGGATGTGATGTAAATTAACTAAAACCAACACCACACCTACTTAATCAGGCCCCATATTTCAGACATATCTAGGTGGATCTCTAAACGTCGGGTCGAATTAAAATGCGTCATAAAAACTGCTATTGATGGAAAATGTCTTTGGAAAATCTTACGACTTCAGCATTTTGAGAGAATCTAGTGTTACTAACAGCACACTATCATTGCATTCTCGTGTGGACTAACGAGGTATCGAAACGAATGATCTCGAAGATTCAGACGATGTAATTAATTCTTCTTGGAGAATGAAAACAATACTTGTAATAATAAGTGGTGACTACTGTATTTTCGAGATTATGGTTGTCGATAGCTAATCGAAACATTGGTGCAAAACTTATTTTATGACTTGACAATACAGTAGGCTAGTTGTCGAAAAAGTTTCTGAGTATGACTCCTCCCATCAGCTCCCAGTCCAGACGTTTAGAACGATGTGCGGAACATTTCAGAGAACAGTCCAGCTGGCCTCCAGCTACCCTCCATTCCCAGACAGTGTGAATGGAACATTGACGTAGGTCCCCCAACTCTAGCAGAAGTTCAAAAGGCTATAGTTAATCTAAAACGAGGAAGGGCAGCTAGTCCAGACGGATTGACTCCAGAGGTCTTTAAGGATGGCGGTTCAATTTTAGCGATTAGGTTGACTAATATCTTAAATAAGATCTAGGAGTTAGACGTTATCCCATCTGACTGGTCACAATCACTTATCGTCCCAATATATAAGAGAGGGTTAAAATCATCCTGTGACAACCATAGATGGATTAGTTTGACTAATATAGTATCTAAAATACTAGCCTCGATAATTATCAGACGCCTAACTAAGACTCGTGAACTGCAAACACGAGAGAATCAAGCTGGCTTCAGACCTGGTCGTGGCTGCATCGACCACATATTCACCATTCGTCAGGTTCTAGAACATAGGCATACTTATCGGCGTCCGACAATGGTGGTCTTTCTCGACTTAAAGGCAGCATTTGACTCGGTAGACCGCGAGATTCTGTGGCAGTGTCTGTCATTGAAAGGCGTACCTCAGAAGTACATAAACCTTGTGAAGGCTCTTTACTCGAACACTACCAATAGAGTCAGAGCTTATGGCGAACTGTCATCTGCTTTCGCAACCTCAAGTGGTGTCCGTCAAGGCTGTCTACTTTCCCCATTTTTGTTTAACTTCATCATAGACCTATTGATGGAAATAACGCTCTCGTCCACTGAATTCCCGGGTATTGATCTCCTTCCAGGAGGTCCACTTACCGACTTAGAATGCGCAGATGATATAGTCCTGTTTGGTGAAGACGCTGATAGAATGCAGAGTCTTTTAGTAGCACTGAGCAACAATGCCAGAATGTTTGGGATGCGCTTCTCTCCCTCGAAATGCAAGTTGTCGCTTCAGGACTGGTCTGCGTCAACACCTGAACTAAGGATAGGGAGTGAAGTAGTCGAACGCGTCGACAACTTCACTTATCTTGGAAGTCTGATCAGACCTAATGGGTTGGTGTCTGACGAAATCTCAGCACGGATTCGAAAAGCTCGTTTGGCTTTTGCCAACTTACGTCACCTATGACGAAGGCAAGATATCCGTCTATCAATAAAAGGACGAGTATACTGCGCGGCAGTCCATTCTGTTTTAATTTACGGCAGCGGAACATGGCCATTAAGAGTAGAAGACACTCGTAAGCTACTAGTATTTGACCACAGATGCCTCAGAAATATTGCTGCCGTCTGCTGGGATCACCGGGTAAGTAACAGTGAGGTTCGACGCAGGGTATTAGGGAAGGATGGTAAATCAGTCGATGAGGTTGTGAATCTTCATCGACTGAGATGGTTGGGCCACGTATTACATATGCCTGAACACCGATTACCATGACGTGCAATGCTAACCGGTGTTGGAGATGGTTGGAAGAAAGTTAGGGGCGGCCAAACCAAAACGTGGCATCAGTGCTTGAAGTCACTAACTTCTAGTCTGAGCCATGTTGGTAGATGCAGATTACCTGGTTGGGGTCCGCGTGACTGTCGTAACCAATGGTTGGAGACTCTTGGTGAGATGGCTCAGAATCGATCACAATGGCGTCGGTGTATACACTCTCTGTCTTCACTTAAACCAAGAGATTAATATCGATTCATATCTTTTTTTCTACGAACTAATTCTTTCTTCGTGTACTATATCTCTATATGCAATCTTTCTTTTATATATTACCACTATTGACTTAACCATTCCTATGAATCCGGTGTTCATCTTGTTGTGTTAATGAGGTATGGCAACTTGGACCGATGCATATATATGCCTGGCCCTACGTTGTAGCTGACTGACTGACCTCAGTCAAAGGTGTCCTTTAAGCGCAAAACACACTGGGTAACTGTAGTTCAGAAAGCAATCTGACGAGCATAACACACTAGTGATATTAACGTAAAGATATTTCACCTTCCGCGATGGACCTCAATAAGTTTACATACTTTTACATCTCCTAGGTTTTATTTATTATTCTGAATTAGATCGTAAGCTTGTCATTGTAGTCACCTGCTTGCGGTACTCAGAGACAACAAGACAGAGTGCAACTCAACATAGTTAATATAAGATTAGTAATTCATAACACACCAACTAAGATATTTTTGAACTACATAATTAGAAACAACATCACTTGCCTAACATCTATGATCCGAACGAATCAGTTTGTACTTGAACATGTAGAAGATTTATTACTGGGATTTAGATCTATTTATCTATATCGTAATTTTTAAAAAAAATCCCAACATATTCTTATTTAACTACGGCTACTTCTAACCATAAAACTGGGAAAATATATTATTGAATATCCTAGATTATCGTTTCACAAAAGAACACATCAAAGTGATAATCAAATACTCATATGAAACAAAAATAAAAACATACATATACATGAAATGTATTTACATTACATAATCCCAATACTTTTTTTTTTAAAAAAGGAAACTCAATATACTTTGTTCAAACTTATAAAAATACAACGTACTTTACTAAAAACAGGAACAATAAAGGTGAATAAATAGTTATGGTCTTATTTTAATAAATAATCCCAATGATGGATCAGTGACATGCCAACGTGATGCTTCTAGAAAATTGAACACTTCATCTAAATCATCTACATGTCGTGGACGATCACAAGCTGATGATAAAACATGTGGCTCTACATAATAAATTTTGAAGAAAAAAGTTAAAGGAAAATTAAACATTACAAACTAGTAATGGTTAATTTAAAGCATTCTTCTTTGCTAATGACAAAATAATCTAATTAAAAACTGACTTGCCATAGTAAATACGGTCGACTGGTTTAGTCAGTTAGTCAGTCAGCAACAACGTAGAACTTCGTACGTACATACATCAGTTCGAGTTGCCATACCAAACTAGTACAGAGATGCAGTTGTCGATTCAAATCCCATAGTGATAGAGTTAGTAAAAGTATAAGCAGTAATCGGAAACACTAGGGTTTGAAGACGTTATTCAAGGAGTATAATTCAGTGAAATAAATTTGGAAAAAAAGGGACATGAAGAATTCAGAAGATTAGAATTTGGGAGAACACAAAGAGTGGATGCACCTGCACCATTGCAAACGATTTTGAGCCATGTCATGACTGGTTAATTAAATTATAGTAATTTAAAAAAATAGTATTGAATAACTATTACTTAAAGCGTTATTTCATATTCCGTGATAAAGGAGTATAATAAGGCCTATAACTATGTATATTAGATTTGTCAGTATACGATTATTTGAACTGTAGTCAAGTGACCACTACCCCATAATATTTAAAATAATAATCTAGTGTTTAAGAGGAACAAATGTCAAGAGAAAGAAAAACCGGTTTGCATGAAGTTATTTGTATTCAAAGTAATGAGTGAAACGAGAAGTTAACAGTAACACTTTATATCAACACTATTAGATCAATTCATCTAAGAGGAAGTACGTAACTATGTTTTTCAACGGTAAACCTGTTAAGCTGCAAATTGATACGGGGTCTGACATAACACTAATTTCTAGAGAGACTTGGATAAAACTTAGTTGACCTCGATATCAACCTACATAATAGAACGCTAAGAGTGAGACAGGAACTAACATTACTCTTCTAGGAGAAATGCGGATATCTCTCACGTTCAGTGACAAGACTATGACCGGAAAATGTTATGCATCTGGAACCTGTCATACCAACCTATTAGGTATTGACTGGATAGACAAATTTGGTTTATGGGACCGGCCGTTGAACATCGTCTGCAATATGATTAAATCACCAGCCGAAACAATATTAGGCCGACCAATTAAAACATCTTTTGGTGCTTTGAACCCCAAAGACAGAATGAATGGACTACAAAAAATAGGAAAGGGAATCGCCCGAAGATTCGAGAATTTAAAGCAGGTGACTTAGTCTATGCACGTGGTTTCCGGCCTGGAAAGCCAAAATGGATATTTGGATGTATTTTTAAAAAAATGTGAGACGGGACGGTATTGTATGAAGTGATGGTCAAAAATACATTAATTATTAAACACATCAATCAACTGCGAGACAGAAAAAATGTTTATGAGTCGCTTAAAGCCAAAACTTTACCAATGGAAGTATTACGTGATACATTTAATATTCCACCACCACCACAAGTTGGGATGAGAAAAAATGAGCTGGAATCAGAAGCTAGCCAAAGATCATTAAGGGGACGAAAACAAACGGGATTTTTTCAAATAGACCCAAAAGTGAAGTCATACGATCAAACTTTGCGAGGGAGGTGATGTGCAGACGAGAATGATAATGATTGGTTGTCTGCTTAGTCAGACATGTAGATAGTCTGACAGGTGTCAGATGGGTTATATATCCCTCTATCCTTATTATTATTGTGACTCTCATTATTGATTGTTCATTGTTGTTGGATTATGTCGGGTTGTGGTCAGGCTAATCACGTGTTCTTGATTTGAGTTGTGTTGACGTCCTGTAGTATAGACACTGGTAGGGAATCTAATGTAGATACTCGTTTAAGGTAAATTAACGTCCCATACGTGTAAACGTGGAAACCCATCCGTTACAACATTAGTCGAAGTAAAATCGAGCGTTACAACAATAAGTCATCCGGTTTTTTAGGATCCTGAAGTGCCGCTATCCCGATGGTACAGAATAAGGGTTTGTCATTAATACGAGTAGCCAGTGCTGAGATAACTCACTTAGAAAATACGGTAACTAGAAACAAATAAATTCTTGTTAGATAAAAACTTGATGTCTATTTATGTTTCAACGATTTACTGATCCTTAGATTTATCGAGCTACAGAGGGAAACATAATGATAATAATACTGTGAATGAAGTAAGCAAAGGAATTCAAAATCACTGACTAGATAGTAAAATGTGATTACTCAGAGGGATTACAGACACTAGTTCCGACCACACAGAGCGAACCCCTACGGCATTAAAATTGAATATTAAAAGTAAAGTGAGCCCTGAACTACGGTGATTCTTTGCTAGATTATAGTTTCACACAAAAATAAATTGCTGATTTATGGGATGGTGATATAAAATACCTGGGGCATATTCATGTGAGCCGGTGCCTTGCTGAAGTGCTCTAGCATATAAATGTGAGGCAGCAGCATCGACGAATGCATGCTGTTGAACTGTAGCATCGCCTACAAGCGTACCACCACCGGCAATCGATGTTATTCCAGAATTAGCTAAGTCGCCATTTGTAGATGATTCACTGGAATAAAACTGGGCTGCATATTGAGAAGCATAGTACTGTTGATAGTATTGTTGATAAGCTTGATAATATTCTGCTTGAGCTGCAGAATTCCCCGTTACAGCAGCCGCAACTGCAGCAGTGAATGGATCGGGCATACCTAAAAAATGGTAGCGAGCAGTGAAGTCATGATTAAAATGCATAATCCTTAGAAAACATAGTACAAAATCGAGATTTCACTACACCGAATGAAAAAATAAACTTGAAAAAGAACAGCTACGTCTGATTTATCCATATTTTTGAGTGATTTAACGTTCTAAAAACTTAAATTGCTGACAAGTATTATATGTGGAAATCTTATTTTAAAAATTTGTTAGGCAAACATAAAATTATCAGAAAGGGTCTTGTAGAGATTTTACAGATTTCACTGGTAGAAACCATGAGTCAATGGAAGTTAGACCACCATGGAAAACCTGGAAGCACTGGAAAACCGTTTCGTCCTAGTATGGAACTCCTCAGCAGTGCGCATCCACGATCCCACCCTCCGCGAGATTCAAACCCAGGACCTGTCAGTCTCGCACCAGGCGCTTAACCAACTAAACCACTGAGCCGGCATCCAACGGTGTTAATATCTAAAATCTCCACAAAACCCCTTCTCATAATAATCACCTGCTCAGTAGAGACTGACTTCAAGAGGCATTTCTTGGAGTTCTAGTGAGAAACCGTGACCAGTAGAGTTCAACCAGGTTTGTTGAGATATCAACTCGCTGAAGACAATGGTGTATGGCGACGTAACTTCTTGGATTGATTGGATTTAGACATTAACAGTGCTGGATGACGGCCGGCTCAGTGGTCTAGTTGGTTAAGCGCGTGACGCGAGACTGATAGGTCCTGGGTTCGAGTATCGCGAAGGGCGGGATCGTGGATGCGCATTGCTGAGGAGTGCCATACTAGGACGAAACGGTTTTCCAATGCTTCCAGGTTTTCCATGGTGGTCTAACTTCAATTGACTCATGATTTCAACCAGTGAAACATAAAATCAGTCAGTAACAACATGGAACTTTGTACGTACGTACATCAGATAGAATTGCCACACCACATTAGCACAGAGATACAGTGGTCAATTCAAATCCCGTAGTGCTAGATGTAGTAAAACTATAAGCTGTAATCAGAAAAATTAGGGCTTGAAGATGTTATTCAGGGAGTATAATCCAGTGAAATAAATTTGGAAAGAGAAAAAACAAAGGGACATGAAGAATTCAGAAGATTAGAATTTGGGAGAACACAAAGAGTGGATGCACCTGCGCCATTGCAAACAATTTTCAGTCATGTCATTCAAGGTCTCTAACCATCGGTTGCTATCATCTCGCGGTTCCCAACCAGGTGTGGCGCATATATATTGGCGCTCTATTGTACCAATATTTATGTGTTCAAATAAATAAATAAATCCCAACCAGGTAGTCTACACCTACCAACATGACTCAGTTCACTTGTCAGTGACTTCATGGATTTGTGCCATGTTTTGGTTTGGCCGCCCCTAGCTTTCTTCCAACCTACTCCTATACCACTGAACATAGCACGTCGAGGCAGTCGGTCGTTGGGCATACGTAACACGTGTCCCAGCCATCTCAACTGATGAAGTTTCACTACTTCATCAATTGATTTGCCATCCTTACCTAGTACCCGTTTCCTAACAACTGTGTTACTTACTCGATGGTCCCATGATATACGAGCAATGTTTCGAAGACACCTATGATCAAATACTAGTAACCTACGAATATCCTCTACTCTTACCGGCCATGTTTCACTGCCATAAAGTAGGACGGAACGAACTGCTGCGCAGTAAACACGTCCTTTGGTTGACAGACGGATATCTCGCCTACGCCATAAATGACGCAAGTTGGCAAAAGCTAGTCGAGCCTTCTGTATCCGTGCTGAGATTTCATCACACACCAGACCACAAGGGCTGATGAGACTTCCAAGATAAGTGAAGCGGTCGACACACTCAACTACTTCACTCCCTATCACTAGTTCGGGTGTCGATGTAACCCAATCCTGAAGCAACATTTTGCATTTCGAGGGAGAGAATCGCATCCCGAACATGCTTGCATTGTTGCTTAGAGTGGTCAGAAGACTCTGCATTTTGTCAGCGTCTTCACCAAATAAAACTATGTCATCAGCATATTCTAAGTCAACAAGTGAACCTCCTGGTAGAAGTTCAACCCCTGTAAATTTAGATGAGGAGAGTGTTATCTCTAAAAGTACGTCAATGACAAAGTTGAACAAGAATGGGGAGTGTGGAGAGCCCTGACGAACACCATTTGAGGTAATCAATTCTGATAACAGTTCGCCATAAGCTCTCACTCGGCCAGTTGTGTTCGGGTAGAGAGCCTGTATAAGGTTAATGTACTTCTTTGGTACTCCTTTCAGTGGCAAACACTGCCATAGAACCTTACGATCAGCAGAGTCGAGTGCCGCCTTAAGGTCGAGAAATACTACCATTGTGGGGCGTCTGGACGTGTGTCTGTGTTCTAGAACCTGACGTAGTGTGAATATCTGATCTATACAACCACGTCCAGGTCGAAAACCGGCCTGGTTTTCTCTAATCTGCTCTTCACGAGCTTTGATTAGGCGTCGAAGTATTATTGAGGCTAATATTTTAGACACTATATTAGTCAAACTGATTCCTCTGTGATTGTCACAAGAGGACTTTTGTCCTTTCTTATAGACTGGCACAATCAGTGATTGAGACCAGTCAGATGGGATTGCATCCAATTCCCAAATTCTACCTAAGACCTCAGTTAATCTTACTGCTAATACTGAACCACCATCCTTAAAAATCTCAGGAGTGAACCTGTCAGGGCCTGCTGCTCTCCCTCGCTTCAGATTTCCTATGGCTTTTTCAACTTCGTAAAGAGACAGAGGACCTACATTAACTTGCCATTCAGGTTGACTAGAGATCGTGGGAAACTGAAGTGTGGCTGAAGGCCAGTTGAACTGATCCCTAAAGTGTTCTGCCCATCGATCCAATCTCCTGGATTGAGAATGTATAATATGTCCATATTTCTCTGTGAGTGTTTCGCTAACAGTCGGGTTCCTAATACCAGTTTCCCTAACGAGTCTGAACAATTGTCTGCTATTACCTATTGCCACTGCCTTTTCCATCTCTTTTGTGTTAGGATGTGCAGAAAAATATACCAATAATTATCATGTTAAGTCTAATGGTGGCCTTGGACTTTAAATGTACACTCCCTATTGGTCAATATTTGTTTCACTTGTTAAATATTGTACAAATGTTGTTTTCTATTTTATGATACGATGTGTTTTGTTTGGTTGGCAAATAAACAGAGTATGTCTGAAATACAATGATTCATATCTTAGAGGCTAAGACTTGCGTTCTGGACTCAACTGGCTGGGCTAGACAGCGAAGCAGGGCCAATAGGGACTCTAGGTCATTGATCTGATCGATAATATAAGCTGCTATCATAATCTGCAATCCACACGTTACAACATCTTGCTTTCGCTACCCACCACTGTTCACGATCATTGCGTAGACTTCTTGTCAGCTTGCGCTTAAGCTGACTCCGCTCTTCATTATGTTCAGAGCCAGGTGGAATGAGTTTTCTAGCACTTATCAATGCGGTAGATGCTGCTGAGATCCAGTGTTGCTCCCTAACCTTGTGGTTTACCTTACTAGCAGATATCACTGTTGTTTCCACAGCTTTTCGGATATCATTCCATGCTGCATCGGGGTGGGCATCACATACATGGCTGCCTAACTGTTTATCTAGTTGTTCCTGAAATATACTCTTAGCTTGACTATCATTAAGTAGGACCCTAAGATGTTTACTTGCAGCGTCTTTCCTACGTCCAGTAAGACGCAGGCAAATACGCGCTCGTACTAGAGCATGATCTGAATTTAAGCATGTGCCCGACCGTTGTTGCTACCTTGACGTGGTGGTCGGGCTTGCCTATCGTGATGAAGCAACCGAGCTATACTGACTGGAACAACCGTACCTCAAGGTCCTACCATGTCAGACAGGTCGGTTGAAGAGCGGTAAGACTAAAAGCAACAAACCCAAGGTCCGAAGGCGAAGTCGTACTGCTGACTGTACAGAGGTGTGACAGCAGTAAGGTGTTTCCTTCAGACAACCAGCATGACAGCGATGCTGCCTTCCCACAAGGAGGGGTGGGGTTAGAAAAGGTCGACCCTAAAAATGCACACCTCACCTTACCTCACGGATTTCCGTCTCCGGCGGTAAGGCCCTTTGAAGAACGGAGCTAACACGTCGAAAACCTTCCACGAAAAGGCCGTGCGCGACCGGCCTCAAGCAGCTGTCCCTTGGGCACTGCGGTCACGCTCTCAGGTCACTGAGACCACCTCTAATCCGATTTCCTTTTCAGGTACCTCCAGAAGAACCCTTCCACGGTGTGGGCAACCGGGAAGTGATAGCCGCCCTCATACCTCTAACAGCACCCAAGACCACTGTATTCATAATCAACCTTCCTCTTCAATTCCTATTATTCCTCCCACATCGACTTTCAACCCTAAACTTCCTCCTTCGGCTTCCTCCTCAAGTGTCACCATAGCCAACGATTCTAGTGCTCAAAACTCTGTCCCAGGTCTACTGAAACCTCGCTCCAAACTACACATTGGAGCTTTCAACGTACGCACTCTATGTCAAATCGGTCAGCAGGCTTCCTTGGCTAAAACCCTAGAGTCTCTTTCCATTGATGTATGCTGTGTCTCTGAAACACGCATACAGGATCCCAGTGTGGTCATTCACTTGACCTCACCTCGGCAGAACGGAGAGCCAACGAGATACACCCTCCGTGTATCTGGTGACCCGATGGCCAGTTCTCGTGGACTGGCAGGTGTAGGCATAGCACTAAGCATGAGGGCCGAACAAGCACTGCTAGAGTGGATCCCCGTCAACAGTCGTCTATGTGCTGTTCGGCTGAACGGCTACGTAAGAACTCGGAAGGATAGGGACACACGTCGTTGCCTTTTTGTCGTTTCTGTCTACGCTCCCACTGACTGCAGCTCAGATGAAGTAAAAGATGAATTTTACAGAAAGCTTTCTGAACTTCTTCAGAAAGCTAAACGCTCAGACATAGTACTCGTAGCGGGTGATTTTAATGCTCAGATAGGTAGCTTAA